TAATAATACAGATTTGTAATTCCAGTCCTACTCTGCCATTTAAATGGTGCAGCAATCTTCACCCTTTAGGTACTGAATGAGTCAAAACTGTCTCAGAAATCAATGCAATCAGATTTGCAGCATCTATTGGTTCAAAAGTTATTAACACAGAAAGTTGTTACACCAATTTGGAACGATTTCAAAACTATTTGATGTGTTCAATGTGCTGAACATTGACACACCTGTGATGAACAATGTTAACTTTCTGTGTTGATAACTTCTGAACCACGAGTGATATTGCTCATCTGGTTGCAAATTTCTGAGATAATTCTAACCTTACATGATATGCTGCATAATCCACCTTTCCCAATGGGAAATACTTGACTTTGATCCAATATGGCAGCTTTCAAGATAGAGGCCATGTTCTGAGCATAGTCTAAAAGATGGGCCCTCTCATCCAGTACTTGGTGGTATTCAGATGTTTCTTTTCCCCTTTCGTTTCTGAAATCAAAGGGTGTCCTCAAACTTTTGATTCACCCCATATATCAAATAAAACCAGCCCCACCTTTTGAAGATGCCTAAGTGCAAAATGTGTGTCCATCTGAGAGACTTCCGGGAGATTCGTCCGTCTGACAGGTACCACAGATAACTGAGCCACTGTGGACCCCAACCTGAGAGACAAGGGGGACAAAAACAAAAGATTCAAGTCACTCTGCGGATATGCTCGTTTACTTGCAGTTTATTGATCTGTGTGTTGTCTTCATCACCTGGCAGCAAGAAGAGTGCTGTGAAACCAGCAAGGTAGGCATAGCAGTAGTTGTGACCCACCCACAGGTAGTACACGAAACAGTAGATCACTGGTGGAACAGAAAACAAACGGGTTCACAGGATATAAACACGCAGGGAACTGACCGAAACATTAATACCTGGATCATAAAAATATAATTAAATTCAGATGCTGAAAATGACAGATATGGCTTTTTATAAACTATTTGATATGTTTTCTTGGAATCCTAATAAAATATTTATGACTTGATAAAATTATAGAACAAACACAACTCTTGTTTTTAGAACTCTTTTCTCTGCACTTGGTTTTTTGGGCCATTCTGACAAACTGTCCCAAAAGAAGCTTTACTGGAAGTTTTATTCTCAAATAAAAATTTCAATCATTAGGCTTTTTTTTTCTTTACGACTAAACAACATGTTTCTGAGAATAATTGACAAATGCAATAATTAAAAGCTTCTGATCTTTTGAGACTGAAATTTTGAAGTTAAAGTTTGGTGATGTGAGGATTACTTTCTCCTGAGTTGTATTATATAGAAGCAAATTTATAACCGGAGATGCAACAAACAATCCGCTCAAATCTGCACAGATCCTAAAACTCCTATTATTTAATTGTGTTTTTTTTCCTTGTAAATGTTTTTGAATGGTCAGTATTGGGAAATTTGACATTTTTCTGGACCATGATTGCACCATCAGGACATGCTCTCTATTATCATATGACTCTGTATTTATTTTATTTTCTCTTAGTAAGATTTTTTGTATTTATTTGAAGAGAAATCAGTTGTTTAGGGTCTTTATTTGTTGCAGTTAATTCTTGAAAAAATAATGATTAAAAAACATGCATATGAGTTTGAATTGGTTTAGGTCAGGGGTCTGCAACCTATACAATCAAAAGAGCCGTTTCTGCTCCTCGTCTCACTGATAAAATGTGTCCAGAGCCACAAAACAAGCTACAACTGTGATTATCAACTGATGGTCCGTGGGCCTTTTCAAGGCCTTTTCAGTAACCTTCACGGTCAGTAGAGGTGACATTATAAAAATAAAAAATATTGCTATTATTATTATATTATTTATTATTATACACATTAGGACAAAAAAAGACATTATTCGTGTAAACAAGAAAAATACTGTATTGTTTATACTGAATTTCATAAAGGTTAGTACAACTGAACCATTCTTCCCTTCTAATTCTTATTATTATGCAGTCTTCAAATTCTTTAAATGTAATTCTGATGGATTTGAGAAAAAGAAATTGTATTATTGAAGTAAACAACAGGCTAGCATGAGCTAACATGTTTTACCTTTTTTATAAGTAGTATTGATCACATATTTGCATACAAATTGATTTCTGCTGTGGGAATAAAAACTAAAAACTATTCTGTTATGTTTGGTCACATTTTCAAAGAGCCACTGCAGAGGGACCAAAGAGCCACATGTGGCCCCAGAGCCATAGGTTGCAGACCCCTGGTTTAGGTTACTGAAAGAAAATCGATAAGTTATGGATCGGGGCTTTTCAAAAATCGGATTCAGCCCACAAAACCAGATCATGCATTTGTTTTTTAGAAACTCACATTTATAGAAAACATGTTTCTGTATATATTGATTGAAGTTAAGCCTGACTCATCAGTTTTTATCTGCTGCATGTTTGGGACAGGCTAAATGAGTTGATGCAAACATTCAATGGTAGAAATGACCTCTGACTGTCTCCACTCCATCCCTCCACACATGTAATCTGAATCCTTTCAGCTGCTAGGCTGAACTGAACAGAACCAGAACCAGGCCCCATCCTGGAGGTAAACGCCCCTCATCCATTCATCCACACTCCCCCCCCCCCCCACCCAAAAAATGCGCGCTGAAATGTGACAACATGGCTCCACATTCAGGAGAAATAAAACATGAAATATTCCAACATGAGTCAGCAGAGCTGCTGCAGCTCACTGCGGGTTTTTCGCAACATGCAGGAGAGGCAGAGGAGGCGCAGATCTGCGGGGATTTATTCTGTATGACAACAAGAGAAACACCAAAATGAGCAACTTTATGTTGTTTTCATTCCATGCAGCTCCGCTCACGCGCCCGCATGCACGCGCACACTAAAATAAAACACAGCCATGACCAGGACACTATCAGTAAACAGACAGGGAGTGGTTAAAAACAGTGTGATGTGTGTGTTGTGCGTATGCGCGTGCGTGTGTGTGTGTCCCAGGTAGGACTCACGCGCCGTTCTCTCCGCAACGATGAGAAATGCGGTAAAAGCAAAGACGCAAACTTGGCAGCACGGCACGCAGCCGCCCGCCTCGCTCGGAGTGGCCGTGTAGTGTCTCATCCCGGGCCCGAACCCCCCACCGGAACCGAAGCCGTATCCTCTCTGCAGACTGGGCCGATGTGGTTCTGGTCCGGGCTGGGTCGGTCCAGATGCGGCAGCCCGTCCCGAACGTCACCGTCCCTTTAAAGAGACACGCCGCCCTGCAGAGTGTGCTCCAGCTTCTCTGTGGTGCATAAACAACCTGCAGGTGTCAACAACAACAACAACAACAACAACAACAACAACAACAACAACAACAACAACAACAACAACAACAAACAAAATGATCAACCTATTTGATTTGAAGCTGTGGTTTAAATCACAGAGGCTGAAGTTTTGTTTTAATTTATTTAACCTGGAAATGTTTAATAAAACAGTAATAAACATCTGACATTAAGAGAACTGAGATGTGATCATACGTCAAGATTTTGTGTAAACTTATAATTTTATAACTTTCAAACTGTTATTGTTACTGTCCAAGTGACCCCCCCTCCCCCCCACACACCACCACCACCACCACCATCATACCCAACAACCAGGTGTGTAAAATGAGGTCTTACAAGGTGAAACTTAGAAGAAGAAAAAGAAAGAAGAAATGATCAGGAATTAAAATAGATCAGTTCAAAAACTACAAAAAACTGAAACCATGGAATCTGGCTTTTTTTATTCTCCACGTTTTTGACAGTGTTTGCAGAGAGAGAGAAATTGATAAAGTGTTATTTGTTTATGGTTATATATCTCACTAAAACCCTATTTAGTGAGATATGGACAGAAAAGTGAAATGTTAAGAAATTATTTATTAATCTTATGGATATAAAAAATAGTGCAGTGATTATGGGATTTAAATAATGACAAAAAAATTATTCGTTTTTAACGAAATAATAAAAACAAAAGTCCTGTCTGTATGAGTTAACGAGAGATAAAAAAAAATATGGACATTAAAGCTGTGGTGAAATTTGATCTTTCTTTCTTT